GTGCGTGTGTGTGTGTGCGTGTGTGTGTGTGCGTGTGTGTGTGTGTGTGTGTGTGTGAGAAATGAATCCCACTGAGTCGCTCTGAACCAATCAGAGGACGGGAAAATGTTGACACCCCTTAATATTCTAGCGGGCCCTGCATATTGGATCTGAAATCTGATTGGTTCAGATTCTTTGAAAATAAAAATAAAAAAATCGATCATGTTGTTTCAATTGAACGGCGTCTGCAGTCCTGCATCTGAAGTTTGCGCTGATACAGCAACATTTCCCCGCCACAAGCCAACTGGGTCCCAGCCAATCCGCTGGCTTCGGCTGCTGCACTTTTATCAGATGAGTTGCGAGTGTGCATCATAGCAACCTCAAGTGAACCAGACGACGCGATGTACCTGTCGTTGCTGAGCGTTGCCGCCAGCGTTGCTCTTCTCTCAGGTAACAGTGGACATCATCGGCACGGCAATGCTATGCGAAGCTCATTGTTTTGTGTGTTATGTTTGATCAATGCTTACTCTGAAACACATAAGTTTGGTGATTTTTTTATTTTTTTTTGTCTTTCAGGACAGCATGTCACACAAAACCCCACCGACCTCATTGAGGCAGTGGGCCGCACGGTCAGGTTTGAGTGTTTACACAATATAGCGAGCTACAACCAGATACTGCTGTACCGACAGCGCGGCCTGGGCATGCAGCTCATCGGCAACATGTACTATGCAACCTCCAACTTTGAGGATGGCCAGAAGAATGTGAAGTTCGAGGGGAGCTCTGAAACCGGCAAAACGTGCAAGATCACCATCCCCGAGCTGCACCCGAACATCAGCGGCGTTTATTACTGTGCAGCTAGTTACCACGGTGTGGTCTAGTGATACAACATCAAGTCATAAACCTTATCAGACCCCAAGCCCCCCTTTTGGTTGTTTTTTTGGTGTGTGTGTGGGGGGGGGGGGGGGGTGCATCTGTTGGTTGCTTACACGCCGACAGACATGTAAGATAAGTTTGTCAAAGACATGAGCTGTTTCAAGAAAACTATGTTGGGTTAAATTGGGACTAAATTGACTTTAACAAACCAAATGTAGGTGGTTTTGGTGGCATCGAAGTAACTGCAAAGTTGAAATCCCAGATTTGTTTCTAAATACGTCATGCATATTTCAAGATTAATTGTTGAAAACCTGACAAAACTGAGAACTATGTAGTACCGTATTACGTAGAAGTCAAGTTAATACTGTATATTTCTCCCTGTGTCGGTTTTCCTGAATTTGCTTGCAATTACCTCTCGCTGGCCAGAGAGTTAACAAACTCCCTTAGCTAGCTAGCTAGCTAGCTACATCTCCTCAGCTTGTCGTCCAAAAACCAACTCTGTGTGTGTGCGTGTGTGTGTGTGCGTGCGTGCGTGCGTGCGTGTGAAAGAGAGAACTGAATCTCACTGAGTCGCTCTGAACCAATCAGAGGACAGGAAAATGTTGACACCCCCTTAATATTCTAGCGGGCCCTGCATATTGAATCTGAAATCTGATTGGTTCAGATTCTTTGAAAATAAACATGAAAATATCGATTGTGTTGTTTCAATTGAACGGCGCCTGCAGTCCTGCGTCTGAAGGCCTTGTGAAATGTGCGCTTGATACAGCAACATTTCCCCGCCACAAGCCAACTGGGTCCCAGCCAATCCGCTGGCTTCGGCTGCTGCACTTTTATCAGATGAGTTGCGAGTGTGCATCATAGCAACCTCAAGTGAACCAGACGACGCGATGTACCTGTCGTTGCTGAGCGTTGCTGCCAGCGTTGCTCTTCTCTCAGGTAACAGTGGACATCATCGGCACGGCAATGCTATGCGAAACTCATTGTTTTGTGTGTTATGTTTGATCAATGCTTACTCTGGCTTTACAAAACACATAAGTTTGGTTAAAAATTTTTTTATTTTTTTTTGTCTTTCAGGACAGCATGTCACACAAAACCCCACCGACCTCATTGAGGCAGTGGGCCGCACGGTCAGGTTTGAGTGTTTACACAACATAGCGAACTACGACCGGATACTGCTGTACCGACAGCGCGGCCTGGGCATGCAGCTCATCGGCTACATGTACTATGCAATCTCCACCTTTGAGGATGGCCAGAAGAATGTGAAGTTCGAGGGGAGCTCTGAAACCGGCAAAACGTGCAAGATCACCATCTCCGAGCTGCACCCGAACATCAGCGGCGTTTATTACTGTGCAGCTAGTTACCACGGTGTGGTCTAGTGATACAACATCAAGTCATAAACCTTATCAGACCCCAAGCCCCCCTTTTGCTCCCATGCTGCCGCAACTCCTCCTGTTGCCATCATGCGCCGAGATCCAGAGCACTATTACGATAAGAGGTTCATCCAGCGGTTGCTTACCAGCCAGACGGTTCAGAAAAGATCAGTGAATCAGTCTTGTTTCTTCATGACAAAATTGTCACTGAGCCTTTGGAAAGCACCGTGTTAGAATAAATGTTC